GTCTCGAACTGTCAACGATTTCGCAGGCTACCTTTAGACAGGTGTTGGTAAAGCGCTTGTTTCCTCATTGGTGTTGTACAGTTATTGGTGCAAAAGGCACGAGAAGTCGGGGTCCACCGTTTACCAGATGGCGGCCCTTCACTAGGCATTTTTAGCAGTCTCTTGTCATCAAGCCGCCGTTAAGAGACGGGTTAAGACACGTATGGATTGTTGAGGCCCATTTATTCGTCTTGCTAGAGCGCATAACTTTTTGCCTCCCTCAGTCTTGTTTGGTTCTTATCGACGGTTTCTCCTCTAGCATTTGACGAACCGACGTCTGACTGCAAGGCCACGGTGACATTGGATGGCCTTTTTCAAAGAGGGGTCTCATTCATCTCGACACTGAACCCTCATCGAGCATCGTGAGTTTGTCGCTGAAGATGTAATTTGTCGAACTCGAACCTAATTACTCCCTGAGGCCTCACCGCAGCCTGTCAGCGAATACTCATTTGTCGCAGCAGATTTACATATCTCGAACTGTTTTCTCTCCGCACCCGGAGACCCGTCGCGTCAGATTACTAGCAGCTAGGCAATCATCATAGATATTGCTGGTAACTAAATATAAGAAAAGATCTGTTTGAGTATTCTTGGCAAAACCAAGTTTTGGACATAGTTAGTTTTCATGCCTATATCTCTGCCTTGATCGAAACTACATGTCCACATTCGGCTAAAACTATCAAGCGGTCGCTTAGGACCAACGACATGCGGGACACCATCAACGACACGAATTAACCTGGTCCGCATGAGAATGACTTCATGCAAATCTCATGGTAACTCAACAGAGTCTAAAACTGTAATTAAAAAATTTATGCCTTGTTTCCTCTTTTCTCGTGGTCTTCCAAAACATACTATTATCTCCGGCATAATGAACACCTGTATTATTTCCAGTGTATGCATTTTCTACCTTGGTTAAATTATTGAAGCTACCTTAGCTTCCTCAGATTCTCAATTTTGTTTCTCTGCCCTTTCATGCTTGGTAC